TACTTTATCTCCGTTTCATAATACCTATCATTAATGCGAAAATTTTAATATGTCGTCAGTAAAGTTTTAAGTTAAAAGTTTTTCGATTAAACCAAAGTAATAATTGAATTTTTTCTTGTCTTTTGTGGTCCACCTAACATTATTTTCATCTATGTTTTAACGCTTTCAAGGTTGGTTAAAAGTTTACGTTAGCAGGCAAAGTTTAATCAATCTAGGCTTGTTTTTCGGTATTAAAAGATTTTCACCATATTATAAGCCTGTTCTACAATCATAAAATATTTCAGCAAGGCTATATAACCAATGGATTAGCATTAAATGTTCGTATTACCTGAATTTCTTGTAGTTACAGTAATTAAAGGTATAAAATGTGGTCAAATTATATGTATGTAAGTAAAATATGCTAAATAGACATAAAAAAATAGAGACCAAATGGACAGTGGTTCGAAGGATGAAACGGTACAGAGACACATATGTGCTAAATATCGATTGTTTAAGGAACGAAACGTAGTCTGGAATGATATTTTAACTCTATATTAAGCCAAACCAATTGAGACGACTTGCCCTCAAATGAACCCGAGGTTTGAAAACTTTAGAACTTAAGAGGCTATTGATTTCTGACACTCCAGTTTGTATTTTCGAAATTGCCATTCGTCCTTCTTCAGTCTTAATATAACTGTGTTTATGTTTGTCTAATTCTGAACTGCGAGACATAGTTTCAGCAACTTTCTCTTATTTGTCAGTTTATTTAAGTTCTGGTCTGAATTTCAAGACTCGTATTTAGTATGTTAGAATAAACGAGAAATGGTTTTCTATAGTTTTTTTCTGCTCATCTTAAGATGACAAATGGTGGTTATGTATTTATTGGTTTACTCAGTATTCTGGCTCTTTCTCCATTTGGGTCAGCGTAAATTTGCGAACAGATTTTGGCAAGATTTCAGTATTGTATGTAAAAAATATATGTATCATGTTATACTTACATAATTATGTCGATTGGCGGTTACTTACTTTACATGTCTATAGCCACTTCTTTATATTTTGTCAACATTACAACCGGTTTTGAGTAAGTGAGGTTGCCGGATGTCCAATCACCTCCTCCCCAATCTCCCCAAACCCCGATAATCCTCAAATTCCTAATCCTCAAAAGACCGATAACGCATCGTATTTGTATCATCACTATTCATCACCTCTGGTGTTTCGGTTCCCCATGGGCGGTACCGATTGCTTACCATTGATCCGTCTGCTAGTATACCGGTTTATTCCATAAAAAAGGATTTTGATGAGTAGATATTAGGTCATTATTAAATTCTAAAGGTATTTACTCCGTCCAATCATTTCCTGTTGAGCCCTAATATCTGAAAGATAATCAAGTTTAATAACAACATCCTTTAATATCACGATAAATTATTATAATACTGAAATCAATTTATCTATTAATACGATATAGGTAATTCTACTTCCTTCTAATAAGTCATTGTGACTTGCATATTATGTACAAATATATCAAAAAGGCATGTTTGTACCTGTTTCATGGTATCTATTGAACTTTTAACTTGATATTTATCTAGTATCTACTTATACATTTTATGATAAAAAAGATAAAAAAACAAATAACTCACAACTTAATGTAGATGTGTCATTGTTATGCAAGGTGCAAAGTATTTTAAACATGATGGACATGTTTGGACTTGATTAATGTTATCTATTGAACTTTTAAGTAAGTACACAATATAGATAATATTCATGATATAGTAGTATTAAGTATTTTGTAGTAAACTACCAACTATTTATTTATAAACAGTCTTAATTACTATGTAATCATGATCGCGTGGTGTCGCCAGTGGCAACGGCCGTGCGAGCCGATGCGGCTGCGACAAAACTAGGTCATTCCTATGTAACCTGCTCAGAATATAGACCAAAGAGAAATGCTCAACATGTCATGCCCATTTTTTTGCAATGTTGCCTTCAAAAGATTCTTGTTCTGATTTTAACTAACATTTTCCCGGATTAACTTTACAGTAAAAATGAGAAGCTTTTGAGTAATGTTTGAAGTAAAAGATCATAGAGTACATTTTATTATAGAGTCTATTGAATTAGATTTCCTTTCACACCACGAAATGTTCTTCTGAAATAAAATTGAGATATATTCTTTTATCCTATTTTATTATTAACAAGTATTAGCTTGCCATTTTATTCCGCTGCCTTGATAAAAAATAAAATCATTTATTTTCTTCCTCTTTGGAAAAAAATAAAATCTTATTTTGAATGAAACAAACAGTCTAATCATATTGGCTGAAAAATATACCATTGACTTTAAAAAAAATCTTTTTATATCATTTTAATTTTTTGGCGTTCTAAAGTCAAATTTAAATTAATTGAAACAAAAACAATGCGTGATGTGTGCGAAAATGGTGGGAAAATATTTAATTTTTGCTTTTGATCATCATATTTGACAATGTATGTTGTAAATATAACAACTAGACGACGAACACACGAGTTTCTAGCAGAATTACCTCGTTGTTGCGACGAACACAGGAGGCTTTTACCCGGAATAACCACAATGGCCGACGACTCGGAGAGCTCTTTAAAAATTCTAAAAAGAAGTCGTGTTGTGTGAAAATGTTGCGTAGGTATCTGATGTTCCACATAACATGTTGTTTGACTAAACGTAGTAAACTAGGTCACTTAATTAAAGTGAAATGTATGTTATTGTACCTCCTTTGTTATTTTGGCTTATTTACATGTTGTTTTTAATTATAAAACGGCTTTTAACTTACCCAAAATGAAGATAGTGGTTGTAAGTGGATTCGTAATTTGTGATTAATGTTTCTAAAATGACTTGGTTACTAGTAATACATAGATTGATTACGTTTTCATGTTAATTTTAGCATTATTGTCGTATTTAACTTGGTTAGCTTTTAGATTTAGGTTAGTTAATTGTATTTGTAGATAGTTTTCCATTTACCAACAAAGAAAATGGGAAAAGTTCAGGGGTTTCGTTTCATAAGCAATGACTAATAACGTAAAGGATTTCTTTGTATTACCTATTTGTTTTTTTAGGATCTTTTAGTTACCCCACGCACAGAAGCTGTCCATGAATTCTGTTATACTTACTTTTTACCATGTTGCTAAGGCACCAAAAAGGTTCGTTCCCCGAAGGGTCGGGTATCATTTATACCTGGAATCTTTGTGATTCTCCTTTTCACACATCCCATCCCTTGTCCACATCTATTTTTAAACAAAACTTCCATTTTCCCCATGCTTTTACTTTCCTACAATTTATGATGGGATATTTTCGTCACATGTTTTATCTGTGTCAAAGAAAGTATCTGCCACAGCGGAAATATCTCCTGAGCTCCCATCCGGCTTCGTTCAGCTAATCAAAAAGTTGGACAGACGGAATGAATGACATAAAAGAAAAGTGAGAAAAACGTGGACGTTTTCCCAATATTTATCCACTCGGTACCAACTTTCATTTTGTGGTTGGCTTCGTTTTTTGATGCGCTGTGATTGAATTTGTTTCGCGGTGAAAATACTTTGAATGGATTTCATGGTTTAATTTCAACTACAGTGCAGGATAAGTAAGATTCAAAAGCTATTTAGTTGAATTAACTTACTTTTAGGTATATGAACTGCTTATGTACTTATGTATCAACATTTTTTTTATGGGATAAGCCTGTTAACGATCAGACGGATCACCTGATGGTATTCAATTGGCGCCACCCATGGACACCTGAAATACCAGAGGCGTTACAAGTGCGTAACCGGCCTTTTGGGAATTGGAAATTTGAGGATTGTAGGGGATTCGGGGATTGAAGAGACTGGAGGGGGGGGGGGTTAATTGGGCCTCCGGTAACCTCACTGAGGCCGTGGTATCGCTCCGGTCGAGCCGACACATTCGTGCCGAAGCATGGCTCTCCCACACACATATAGGTAGGAACAAATCGTGCAGGGAGCAAACCAAAACATTTGCCTACACGTGCCACAATTATTCACCATTCTAGATAAGTTATTATAAAACAGTCAAGTTAGGATGACATTTCATAATTGAGCAATTTTGTAATCTATAATCCTATACGATCCAAATATTATGATACTACTTAACGTCATACATAAATCGTCTTCTGTCTTTTTGTTATTCATGATTTAAAACTAAAGGAATTAATTATTTAAAAAATGATATTTGGACTATCAAATTACTTTTACCCAAATTAAACTCTACTTGTTTCGAGCCACAGAGGGGCTCTTGTTCTAGAGCCGCGGGCGCGGTCGCGGCGATATCGCGCAGCCTTCCTCCGTGGCTCGAAACTAGTAGAGCTTTTCTCGGTATATTCACGTAACTAGCCCGCCATTTTTAGTTAATTTAATATATGTCATGATAGTCATTATAAAAACATACTTTTACGGTTACCTACTATACAAATAGGTGTGAGCTTTGTACAAAATACTGACGATAAACTTTACGAGTAATTACCAAAAATGTCAAACAAATACAGGAATAATTCAACCCTACTCTACTAAATTGAAAACCCGTATAATGAACAGAAAATTTGTGAAATCAAAGCCGAGCTTCACTCAAGTTTTAACTTACTCATTCGCCGTAAAACAGAGGACTTTTGTTCTTCATAGACATGAAGTCCCACCAACGTTCCCATTCATCCGAGTTACCAGACAATTGGAGCATGTCACTTCTAAAGCCTTGTATTATCTTCCTTCTTTTTACGTTCATTCCTTCCAAATTTTTCGAGATGTATCGCACTGGTATAATGACCTACTTACTCAATGGAGGTTTCAGTAAATGCTAAAGAATCTTCACAATAACCGCCTCCTTTTGGATTCAAGGAAAACAATGTTTTTATTACATTTTAATTTAACATGAATGAAGTCATTCGTGTTCGTTCATGCTCCGCTTTGATTAAATATTTTACATGATAACATTTTCTTTTGTCATATGATTTTAGTGAGTATCTACGTAATTTGGTAAAACATTGTCCTACTTACAGATTCGCAAATAGAACAAAAACTTGTACTGGGTGTGGCTCGACTTAAGAACAACATTTAACAAGGTCTTGCACGCACGAGAGGAGAATATATAATGGAAATTCAAGATAAGCCGTGAAATATATAGGTATGTTATATTATATACATACCTCATCGCCGTGAGATATAGGCTAATATATAACTTAGTAAGGTCAATTTTGGGGATTAATGACACAGTTATCGATTAGTATCTTAGTTTGAATGCTTTACATGAATATACTCTAATTCTGTAAGGTCCTATGTCAAGACATTTACTGAGCTTTGCATTTTTATCATGGTTTGATCACACCTACATAATTATTTGGCGGTTACGCTAATCAAAAACCTAGATACTCCTTGATTATTTTTAGAACTTAGTAATTTTACAGAAAATCAACGATCTTATCTGCACATTAGGAACAAGGCATATCAAAACGATTAACATTAAATCGATTAACCCGATAGCAATCACCAATATTTCAATGGCGGACAGTTGAAGGTCCAGCTTGAGGTTTGTCTGAAGCAGACGAAGTGGGTATTAAATGTAATTGGCTGACCATATTCCCGGGCGAGAACTGGACACTTGATTGACATGGAACGTACGCAATTAAAACAAACGTTTACAGTGGGTACAAGTCAAGCTATCCAAACCAGCTTATCATGGTCTCTGTTGCTATGATCTTTCCGTACAATTAACGGTCAGTTTGTACTGGTTATGCATAGCTCAATGTGTGGCCGTGTGTGTGGACGCTTTCATAGAAATTGTGACATTGTGGATTATCATGATGTAATTAGATAATGTAGGATACCATGTAGATTGTGTTACACAAACGTTAATAGCACTTTTGATATTGTATATGATGTTTGTTTTCATAAAAAGTAATGTCGTTTGACATTTTATTTAATCATTTTAATATGTATCCGATTATGTTTGTTTGTAATTCGAATCTAAGTTAATTTATTTTGTCTATAAATAACAAAACTAGTTTTTGGTGGCGAATTCCGTCAAACATAATAATAATAGCAATACATATTACTCTTTGTCATAGTTTATATGATTTATAATGGAAACAAAACATAGCGATATAAAACCAGTTACTTACGCACACGTAGCTATTTTGGTAAATAATAGTGTGTGTAGTATGTGCGTAGCTTAGCGTCGAATATAATGACAGAATTCCTAAAACGTTGGGATCGATACGCTGTTAGAAACAGAGCCACGATTTATGTCGAATAAAAATGCTAATTTTAAACGCGTTTTTTGTACGAGCCTTTGGATATTATAAACTGTAGTATTTAAATAAATGGCGACTGGCTGTAGCGCTTGTTCTTTGAATTGGGTAAGGTCGTGTTGAAGTCGTACTTAGCCTTGCTGGGTTTTACTCTTGGGGTCTTTTAAAGAGTTTTCCGAATATATTCTTTAACGCCGTAGTAGACGTTTACAAGCAGGCCTGCTCAAAATTTAATCTAGATTTTCTCAATAGGTACTAGTTACTTAATTGGGTTCTCCAATAACCGTAAGTACTTGAATTGTTTTGTGGTCAACTGCATATACTTACCATGATTAAACGTAGATATGAGTAGATAGAAGGTAGTTATGAATAACAGAACATTATACGTTTGTACCCCCGGGAAATACATGCATGACATATATTTTGTACTGACATTAAGTGAACAATTGTCGCAAACCATTGTCGTGTTCACATGGCAGGTAAATAAGTATCGAGCGTGGTTGGCACCATACAGGGGTCAAAAGGCAGGCTAGTTGTCTACCAAGCGCTGACCGGGTCGGCGCCTCGGAATCGATCGAGCGACCTGGAGTAATCGCGGCGCTAAGCCCACGGCCGCGGTTCGTGCTGACACGCTAATTTATGCCAATTTTAATTTAACAATTTAGAAATCTAATACTGTGTTTGTTGATATGTGTGTGTATTGCCGATTTTGTCATTAGCATTACTAATATTTGGCGTTAAATGTATGTTAATTGTTAAAAAAAGAAAAAAAAATATGTCATAATATCATTGACATCGTATGATCATTTAAAAATAACATGTAAGTAGTTCAAGTATTAAGCTTAGAAGGGTCAAAAAAATATTAATAACTGGTTTTTAAAAATAGGCAAAATATATTATGTTTGTGTATAGGTTTTAAAAAGCAGGTTTCAAAAAACAAGCGTAGTCTAAAAGTAATCTAAGTTTAATTCTTACTTGTTTACAAACCCTACATAATTATGTCGAACCAAATAATATTTGTACTGAAAATTCGTTGTAAGGTAAGGTTGAACTAGCAATGGTGACATCTCGGTATAACATTTGTTTGGTAAACTAACTGTTGAGTAAAGGTCAATGCCGGGATACACGAAGTACCAACGATAAGTGATCACAAACCGTGATTATAAAAAGCAAGGGTCTGATCGAAATCATCATCATGTTTATACTACAAAATTTCTTCATTTCAGAGAATCGATTGCGGTAAAATATGTATGTACATATAAAAAACATTAAACTTATAAGTGTAAATACTATTAATTCAATCACTTATAGAATGACTTAATATAAATAATATATGTTATAACATATAATTTTTTTTTTGCTAAGTAAATAAATCCAGCTCGGGTTTTCCATGAAATAATAGAATTGAGTGCCCCTGTATATTTCCATTGAAATGTCTGTAAGAGACTGCCATTTGTGATAAGATTGCATACTTTTATGTTTCCATACAATTTGCATAGTTTATGTAAGACGTACGTCCAACAAAAATAAGAATTTCGAACGTCACAAGTCAATCGCGAACATGTAGAAAAATTGTCTAACATAAAGTTTACGTCTAAAATAATACCCTAAGAAATATTTATCCCCGTTAAAAATACAACAGAAAGAAACTTTGTATTTCTTTTCTCTGAAACTTCAATGTTAAGATCACAATTGTTCTGTGTACATGACGTCAATAGGAATCGATAGTGGTTGGCGTCATTCAACGAACGACCGTCTGTTTCTATTGAAAGCTTTGAACTCAGGGGAGGACTCGGTAAGTAGAATGTAATTGCAGTTATATTAGGATCCCGGTACTTTAAAACTTATTTGTTATTCTCTGATAAGATACCAGGGTGAATTAGAGACAATGTGAAGCGGAGTTTAAGTTTTAAGTCTTAAGATATGTTTTTAAAAACTGTTTATTTTATTAGCTTTTGCATTTTTACTACTTTTCACATTTATTATATAATGTAAGCATGTTTCGTTCTGTGGAAACTATGTAAGCCACATAAATCTTTATGAGCTAAGCAATCTCATGATAAAGAGTCTCTGCTCTTGTATTCAGTAAATAACTACTCTAGTCAATTTTACTGTGAATTCCATTGCGTTGGCATGAAAAGCGCTGCTCTATCACAATTTACTTGCTTTAGTATTTGTAAACTTGCTCAGAAAACTGTATAAATTAAATTCATCTAGTAAAATGTGCGCCGAGAAATCTCCTTGTATTTCTTCAACATAAATATTTTACCTCTTTCCTCGGAATTTTCTTGGAGAGTTGGCAATCTTAATAAGGGCTCTCGCGGCCGGCTAAAATCTACTTTCTCACGAAAGCTGAATTCACTGAAGCTAATCTTAAGTCGTCGCTGATTAACGAGGGATAACCTGCTAATATACTCATTCATTTTTCATTAAAAACTATATTTTTGGCAGTGAAACGAGGCAGTGTTTTCTATAGATGACTAACCGATATTGGTATCACTTTGTTTCGTAGATAGTGAAAGAATGAATCACTCCGTCTTCAACTTTCAACGAAAAGTTACTCATAGGTCATCGCGAATGGTTCTAGTAAATGATATCTACTTCAAAATAAAGTTGTAAGTACACATCACCAATCTTAACATCTAGTATTCTTTTTCTTTGCAATTGTTTCCAGGATGTTTTCATTGGTCAGATCAGGGTCAGATTTCTTACTTTCACCAAGTAGGCCGTAGATAGACCGTAAAACGTCAGAATTAACTTCATTTGCGCTATAAGTAATGCAAATTAACTTAGTAAGTACGCTCCGGTTCGGCCGTAATGATAATCCTAATTAGAGCTTAACAGCTGTGCAGGGCATACTTTAAGGGAGTAATTGTTATAAGAAATAACAAGGGTTTAGTACAATTAGTTGATCTCTTTCTTCATTGATTCTATGATAATGTTAAAGTCTGTAGTTAACTGTCTTTCTCTCTTTTGGAAAATTGGATTCAACTAAAGAAATGTATGACCTCTGTTGTTACGATAGGTTTTAATAGTCTTGATATGTGATAAGTATAAATGTCACGTATAAGGAATTAATCGTAGTTGCAAACACGCGGATTTCCTTGTGATTATTGATTCAATAAAATCCTTAGATAGTGACAAATCTAGATGAATAAGGTCATTCTTTAAACTTCTTACCTTTTTCGAGGTTATCGTAATATGACCTCGTTATTTTTAGGCAGAATATTTGACTGGTGTAGACTAGTTATTGTTGCGTGATTTAAATGAGTGTTGACATGACAACCAGTTACTTATGCAGAAGATCTGCATTGCTGACTGGCTGAACTCGAATACTTGTATGTATGATTAAGCCAGTATTTTGCAATGGTGTTGAATATCAACGTTTAAAAATAAGTGACCTTTACGTCTCTGTAATGTATATAGGACGGTATTCGATACATGTTTAACGCAGGGATGACGAGGGTAGCGACTTGCGAAGCATCTGTTTGTGATCGCAATATCATTCAACTGTCAATAAACAAACGTTATATTATAATTTTGCGATACCTATCTTCTTTGCATAAATCGCTATTTTGGACGACGGTCAAAAAATCAGCTCGGTGATTGGTCGGATCGGTATCATAATCAACCAATGAAAAAACGTGTCTTAAGTTCTTTTTATGCGCAGTTTGATAAGACTAGAAGTTGTCCATGATAAATTAGACTTTATCTCAAATACGAAAGCATGTCTTTATTTATATTTCAAGGAAATCAGCGACACGTGTTTCGTTTCATTACAATGAGACAAAGAGGATTACTTTTCAATTCACATGTTCTGAGACATAATTTTGTAAGAACACACGCATGAAATGGCAGGAAACCGTATGGATAATTT